AGGAAACTAAGCATTGAGGTAATCAATAGTTAAAATAAGAGATGCAGTTCCAACTAAACATTCAATGGGAATTTTAAACAATTACTAAGTTGCATTTTATCGAATATCATTTCAACTATATCATATCACATCTAACTATAAACATGGAAATATTCGACTAAACTGAATAACATGAGATTGCACAACTAAGAAAGCATTCCACTAAACTGAATAACACGAGATTGCGGAACTAAGGAAATCAACCATATAAACAGATATGATCCAAATTTGTATAGTAAACCAATGAGCTTCTAAAACAAAATGGTAAAACAAATTTTATTTCTTATTTTTATTCTTGATCATAAGGCCTAACATTTTTGCAAGTCTTCCTGTTGTGATCTTGTTGTCCACAATTACTGCATGTAATTTTCGCCTTCTTGAATCCATCTTCTCTCAGTTGTGTATGTCTTTTATTTTTTGGTCTTCCCGGATGTCTCTTTCCATGAGGTGGAAGTACAACCTCTTCAAGAACATGTGTTGGTGTGTTCCATATGCTTTCATCTGGCAGGAGATCCATTTGAAACTGATATGTCAGCAATAATTTTTTTCTTGTATAGTAATCAGAGCAATATTTCTCATAACTAGTGTGTTTTATTGTTAAAACAGCCAAAGCATGTGGACATGGCAACTCATCCAATTGAAATCTCCCACATGTGCATGTACGTTGGTGAAGACAAACTGTGAATTGTGCAATACCATCAAGTACCGTATACACATATTTATTTGTCTCTACAACCTATGAAAATAAAAAAATATAATCAAGAGAGATGTTAGGTATGAATCAGAAGAAAAAATATTAGCAAAAATAATTTACAGATCAAACATACCCTTAATTTCTCTGATGCAGTTTTATTGCGCCGCAATATATTTTCATACTTTTTCCCAAGGTGAAAACCTGAAAATGTCGCCTTTGATCTGTTATTGTTATTCCATTTCTGGAAAGCTATCTCATGAATTCCAAGAGGTGCAAGACTATAAGAATTTTGGCATGTCTTGTTCTTGAATTGACTGATTCTGCTATATTTGATGTCATCATTCAAGTTCTGTTTACTTCAGCATGCACACGCGACCATTTGTTGTATCCAATGTTCAGCAAGTAATCTTTGATCCTCTTATCTATTTTCTCAACTATTGTCATACATTGATTAAATTCTGTCATGGTGTATGTTTTTGCCATAGAGTAGAACAACCTCAGTTACCCTTTGCTGACTTTTTCTGAAGTTTTTCATTATGTTTTGCAGTAAGTGCCACATACACGCAAAATGAGGTACTTCATCATAAACTCTTGAAGTTGCCTTAATAATGTTTGCATGCCTATCGGAAACGATACACATCTCTAATCTTTGACTGAATGCATCTCTGAATTGCTCAAAAAATCACCTCCAAGATGCATCATTCTCTGAATCAACAATGGCATAAGCAAGTGGCAATATACTCCATGCACCATGTACAATTTGTTTAATACAATTTTGATACATTTTTACTGCAATTATAATTCATTTTTAATTCATAGTTCAGAAATTCAATATAGAAAATACTAGTATCATATTCGAAAGTCTCACCTGCTGCATCTAAGGTATTAGGGGTTAGTAGTGTCCCTTTGTATGCTCCTTTTAAGAAAGTTCCATCAACAACTACAATTGGTCTACAATATTCCCATCCTTTTATCGAGGTGAACAAAGCTACAAACGCATATAGAAAACGGTCATCCTCTGATTTGTGCAATCTTATATGGGAACCAGGGTAAGTTGCCTCTAGTATGTGAAAGTAGCTTGACAACTTTGCATATGATTGAATTGGATCACCCCGGACTAATTCAAGAGCTGCTTCTTTAGCTCTCCATGCTTGCATATATGTGAGTCGCACACCATATTCAGCTAACATGTCACGTTGTATATCTTTTGGTGTGTAAATAACATCTGGTTCAGCACATTTACCGACAATAATACTCCCAACAACACTCTTAGTTGCTTGCCTTTCCGATAATGAATTATGTAGCATCAAACATGTGTGTTCGCTTTTAAATTCTCTAATCTTGAACATTTGAGATTTGTTCAAGCTTGAAGCTCGTAAACTCCAACTACAGTTTTCACCTAAGCACTGTATCGAATAGCTGTTGAAAAAAAATTAATATACAATCAATAATTTAAAGTGACTTGAATTTAGGTCTTACCTGATTGAGCTTGATCTTGTTGTCTTGAATTGAAAATGCTTAAGAATGGAATGTCTTTTTAGTGCACTGGTGAGGACATATTTATTCTTATACACTTGATCTTTCTCAAATAAAGAGTGATTGGGATTAACAATGATGCCTGGTGCTAATTCTTCTAGCTCATCAACTTCCTCACATGATCCAAAGCCAATTAACCCTATTGCTTCACCAATACCATTAAATGTATTAGAGAAGTATGAATTGTGTATAACCCTCATATCTTCTGAAGTGTCTGAACATAATAGTGGAATGAGTGTAGAATTAGTCTCCAAGTTGACTGGTTCAGTTGTTGTGACACACAAAGGGTATCTTGCCATATCTCGATGTTCCTTTTTGGTTTCAACATATACTTTTACCCCCATATCATTATGAATTTGAATTGGAGGAGACCTTTCATCAATTTTATATCTGATTTCAACTTTACTTGTTGATGTGTCTATTGACAATTGAGTAGCAATTATAGAAATGAGGGCGGCAAAGTTTGATTCCGTATTTATCAACACACCATCTGCCAAGTAATTAATATATTTGTTGCTAGGATCCCATCGTCCATTGAAGTAAAGCAGCACAGCCAGATTAGTTTTTTTTTTTTTCTGCACATTATTAAAAAGTGTGCAGATTAGTCTATTTTTCATTGCTTATGTAATGAATTCTCAGGTTAGCCTTTACAACTGTATCTAATTCAATTATTGTTCAGTTCAGCAAATGTACAATGTCAATGTTTCTGGGAGATATTAATACTATTATATAAAAGTCTATGGGGGAGTATATACATCCTTCCAACACACAAAACTCAAACTGGTGTGATAAGCAAAAAGAAAAT